ATGGTTCTCTGCAGTCCTGCTGCTGTTTTTAGATGAGACAGCTGAAATCAGGATTGCTAGGGAGACAGATAATGCCTGAGGCAAATATCTGAGGATTTGCTGCAGCTGAAGAACTGGAAGTGTAAAAGTCTCCTTTTCAGAATCCACTGCCTGGGCACAACCTCTTGTGGCAGGTGCCTTGCAAGTCCTCTTCAGAGAATGTGGCAAAATTTATTTTTAAGATGCCTCTGCTGAGTGCAGGAGCTGTGTATAGCTTAGAGCACTCATTGGAAGTGTGAGAGGTCTGAGTTAGTTTCTTTTGTCAGCCTGGAGATACAAGTCTACATCTTCCAGCTGCCCAACGAGTTGCCGTTGTAGCCGGGCTGGGATGAGGAGCAGCAGCATATTTGCCTGCAGCTCAGAGCTGAACCTCTTTTTACAGCAGAAACCACGAGTTCTGGAGACAAGCAGAAGAGCAGATGAGGGGGAGTGCTGTACTGTAGCTCAGTGGCTGAGACCCACAGGCAGCACAGTGTTGCAGGTTGTGGCTTCTGCATCTTCAAAGTGTGTACATTTTACAGGAAACAGACCATGGATAATAATCTGAAATAATTCCCAGCCATGACTGCATTTCATAACTGTTCCAGGTTGGATATATTACTGTTATCAGGCTCTTTCACAGGATCTAAGCCAGGTTTTGGATTGCAGTGTTGTTGAGGGAGGCGTTGCACATCTGACTGCTCGGGCAGGACTCCTTTGATCGTGTGGCAGGAGCAGGTCAGGTGGGCAGGCACTGTGGTTGACAGCCAGATGATGGAAATTGGATATCCTTTGAACAGCACCACAGTCTCACAAAACATAAGAATTAGCTGTGTACCAAGGGGTAGGAGGATTAACTACTGAGTCATCTGTTTAGGAGGGCACTCAGGGGTAGAGACTGTCTGCTCAGCATGCTCTTAGGAGTTTGTGAGCAGTGCTTTTCATACAAGAGGCCAAGAGTTTAGTTACAGTAGGCAGCTTGGGTGAGTGACTGTAATGTAATGGCGTTGAATAAGGAGTGGGAAAGAGGGTAAAACCAGCAATCTTTGTAAGAAGAAAAGAGTTTATTTCCTTGTCAAAGCTATACAAAGGGCTCAATTGCAAGCTCTCCCACCTTGCAAAGGCAGGCAGGGGAAATGGTAAGTTTTTCCTTGACCTGAAAACTAGGAAGGAGCCAACCAAATGGAGGAGCTGGGTCAAATGTCTAAGGACAAGTGTAAGTGAATGTAATGCAAGGATGTAGGTACAGAATTAGGTCAAGGCACAAAATAAGATGCAACTAGTAAGAGAAATTGAGAGCTACAGTAAATAATTTTTAGGATGTCAAAGTCTTTGCTTCACTTTCCCAAAAGGAACTAGCTTGGTATCTGGCTTGGTGTAAAATGTTTCTTGACTAAAAATAATGTAACTGTTTGGACCTCTGTGTCATCCTCACTTGAAAGCTGATACACTGGACTCTTCTTTGTGTCACTTGGCATCTATCCCACACCAGAATCTTGAATTTACTACTTGCATTCTGGCCCGACTGGTAATAACCATTGTTATTTACAATGTTGTCTCTCGCCTGCTTTACATTTTTCATCTCTGACATGCAAAGTGCCTCTCAGAGGAGGACTTTTAATTTCATCCTTCTTCACCCTCAAGCTGTGTAGAGTTTTCTCCAGTCAGTTCACAAAAAACCTACTGAGCTGCTCCTTCCCCCAGCATTAATAGGATTTTCCACCATAAATCTCTCATCTATCAATGGATTAACGTGCTTAAAATGCAATTCACTGTGTGGTTTAAAGAGCTCAGCCGTGGGTAATAAAATACAGTACCTTTCACCACAGTAATGCTAATTCTGATGCACACAGGATGTTAGTGACTGGGAGTTACTGCTTGAACTGCATCAGCTGAGCGTAGTTACAAACCCATGTCAGGGATTTCTCACTGGGCAGAATGGAGTGAGCTGTGCAGGCAGTGCCTTCCCATTTCAGGGAGTAGAAAGATATGCATCCACATTTAACTAAGACAGTTTTTAAGATGTTTGCTAGAAATAAATGGCGGTACAGGGGATTTCTTGTTTTGTCCTTCTAAGGAAACATGTCCTTCTTCAAACATGAATAGTGTTTCCAATAACATGTATAACTTTGTTCAGTTCTCAGATGACATGGTCTGGGACACAGATTGGTGTTCTCTGCCCTTCTTGGAATAGGACTGGTTTGCACACACATGAATTTTATTCTGTTTTTAAAACTACTTTTTTTTTAAAGCATTTAAGATTTTTTTTTTTATACATACCTGTCACTGTATTCAGCAGAATCAACATTTTTTTCTTTAAAAAAAATATCACTCTCCTTGCAGAACTAATGTGTTTGGACCCCCTTGAGAAGGGAGCCACTTGGAAAAATGAGTCACAGTTTATTTCCAGACCTTGAAGTGATGGGTGTGTGACTTTTTTCTCTCTGAATTTTTGAAACCATTTCTCAAAGAAAGTAAACTTTAGCCTTGGTTAAAAAGAAGAAATCATTTGGCAAAACATTTTAGCAGTTCAAATAAAGGCTAAAGAAACTACAACCCTTAAGGAAAGTCAGGTGTTTCTTTCTTTACTTTTTTTTTTTTTTTTTTGCTAATGCAGTGTGGTGAGGTTTAGTGTCCTAAAATAAACTCCTGCATTTGGAGAATACATCTGTTAAGTAGAGCAATTAGTGATTATATATTGGGTTGTTTGTACAATAACTCAGATGTTTTTCTGTAAAACTATTAACAAGGTTATGATTGCTCTTAACTCTTTTGTCTTCTCTTCCCTTCTTCCCTTCTTTCTTAGCTATATTACTAAGCAAAATTTATAGCAGAAACCAGAACTTATAAACTTCTGCAGTGAAATGGAGATTATCTAGCATCATGATGGTTTTGAGCAAAATAGAGTCACTGTGCTAGTAATTAATTCTCCTGCTTCAGTTGAAATCCTGTTTCACACAGTGTTTTTCTCATCTATGTTCAAGTGTTTGCATGGATCCATGGATTTTGTAGCTTGCCTCACAATAGCTGTGGGAATGTTGATTTTTTTGGTTTCATGAACTTCCTAAACTTCTGTTCCTTCAATGTAGTTTTAGTTCTTTGATTTCTGTTATGAAAATGAACTGGGGAAATTAGGATTTGGTGTCCAGGGATGGATATTTTAAAAAGGATCTTCGAGCATGTGGAGAACGCAGGAGGAAAAACAGTGCATGCAGGGTAGATGTGACAGCTGGTAGGAAGGTTTAATGACTGAAGGGCCATGGGCCCTTCATCTCCAAAAAGGAAAGCCTTCACAAAGCTCCAGAAATGTATGAGGCTCATATGGTTTGGGCTGTGCCAGCACTGGGTCTTTTATTTAGTCTTGCGTCCCTGAATTCTGACGCTGAGGAGCCACTGCCATAAAATACTGAAAGTCAACATTTACACTGACAGTGGTTTTGCCCCAGCCAGTTTTATTCAACTCTGGGTGATGGCTGATAATGCTGCAGGTTGGGTATGGCTCCTGGCCAGTTGCACCTTCCTCTTTGGGTGGCAAAGTAAAATGATTCAGCTGGGTGCAGTCAGGAGGTGTCCTGAAGTGTGGGTTTGCCAAGTAAAAAGAGAATAGCTACTAAAGTGTGTCTGAGGGCCAGACTGATACTGATGTGAAGGTATGAAGAGATGCAGAATATAAAACTATTACTTGGTGTGTGTATGTATCCTGAGGCAGCTAAATGCCTGTGTTCCCATCTCACTGAATTTTGTTAGTGTTAGTCAGTGGAGGTCGATGTCTTCCTTGCTTGAATTAGCAGTGGCACTATTTCTGTGGCTTTCTTGACTACTTCTGAAGTCACAGCAATGGAGATCTTCTAGTGACGTGCTGTGTGTTTCATGGCTTTGGGCTGGTTGTAATATCTCTGTTAGGACAGTAGTTCATCACCTTGGTAGTTCAGAGAGTCCAGTTGGTCTGAAGTAGGTGCTTCTATGAAAGGAAGGCAGGAACAGCACCTACTAACAAATAGTTATTGTAGCATTTTTGTTAAAAATGAAGTTGTTATATAGTCAGTCACAATGGGGTTGTGTATTTTACTATTCATCAGTAAGACTGCTAGGTATCTTCCAGTGATACACTGGTAATGTACCAAGCAAATGCCATGGTTGGTTTGTTCCTTGTCTCCTTCCCTCGAGAAGGGATATTGCCTTCTCTGGCTGAGGGTTCCATTGTGATGGATGCAGAAATGGGTGCTACACCTGCACTCCTTGGTGCTGGCAAAGGCAAGAGCAAAGTTTTGTCCTAGGAGTGAAAGTGGTGATGTCTGTGAGAGGCTTTTTTCCAGGGAAAATCTTGTCTCAGTCTTGTACCTGTCTCAGTAAAACTGTAGCAGCTGCACTGGCATCTTGCCCTTCCCCACAGGCAGCTGCACTGCACCAGGGAACAGAGCTGTGGACTTCAGGTGACCTTCTAAACAGCTTGGATTGAGGCACTTGGAAGTGCCTTTCTCTTAGGCACTAAAAGAAAGAATGCTTGCACTGCGGTGCTTGGGGCCTGTTATTAGTACTGGAAGGTTTTTGTGAAACATTTCCTATGCCAGCTCCACTAGAGCAGTATCCAGAGTCCTTCATGTTTGATGTAGAAAGGTATTTTTGAAATGCTTACTTTTAAAATGTTATCTTTGTAAATACTTTGTTGGCTTCCAAGCCTTTGTTTTCTTGTTTCTTTATTGAATACCCCCCAAAAAATGTTTCTGAAATCAGCACTATTATTCTTTATTTTTCTTGGTTTTGTGAGAGTCTTTTTTTGGGGGGGTGAGGTGGGGATGATTGCAAGTGTGTTTGTTTGGTTGTTTTGTTTTTATTTTTTTAATCCTGTCCCTCATTTTCTAGTAACGCCTTCACCAAACTCTGTGGCTCCCTCATGCTTCCCAGTTCTCAATTCCACCCTTGGAATTGGTTTTGGTTGAGAAAACATATTTAATTATTCTTGCATTCCTGTTCTGTTGCAGATTTTGACTTGAACTATTTTTGGCATTGGAGCAAGTTTACAGACTACGTGCAGTGCGTCCTCACTTTCACTGGTGTGACTGGTTACATCACTTACCTGTGGCTGGACTCCTCCCTCTTTGTGGAAACGCTGGGCTTCCTTGCTGTGTTCACTGAGGCCATGCTGGGCGTCCCCCAGCTGTACCGCAACTACCAGAACAGATCGACAGAAGGCATGAGGTACAGTACTTGTCCTGCATCAGACACGTGTGTGTGCCTTCGTGGGGGTTGTCTCTGCAGTGTGGAATGCTTTTCCAGGAAGGGCAATGTCATCTCTGCAGTTTTTACTTGAAAACACAGCAGCAATCAGAGTAGACTTTCTGTCAGTAGGAGCCAGTGCAGCACTGCTCAAGGCAGTGGGAGTTCCATGACACCTCTGAACTCTGACCCATTATCCAAGTCCAGCTGGAGAGTTCCAAGGTGAAACATGTTCTAGTGAGAAAACATGTGAAACCACTACTGTTGCCATTAGTAACATGTTGCACTTCTACTTGAGCTGTGCTACACCGATAATTAGAAATGATCTAAAGAGATCTTGCGTATCAGAAGTACTAAAGAGGATGAAAATATTTTGAGCCTATAACTATCAGTGTAACTCATATAATTAGCTTTTCCTCACATATCTGCTCCTCACTTCTTCATAATCCATTACTACATTTGTACCAAATGACATCAGTATTTATTTTTGTGTCAAAGCTTGAAACTGACATTTGCAAAAGCGCCAATGCGACTTTTACAGTCATGACTGTAAAAATGTGGGACAGAAAATTTTAATCTTGTGCCCACTCTTGAGGCATTAAATCAGATTATTTTTTCACACTGTTTATTGCATAACTCAAATGATAACACTAAGATTACAAAGGCAACTTGTGAAGCTTTTTGAGAGAGGAAACCTTTACTGTGGTGCATCAGTGTGCTGGTCTGTAGAAACAATACAGCAGCAAATTCAGTTCACAGAGTGCTGTGATTATTTGTGACTCTGTCATCTCTTGCACTGTTTCATGATGACTTCTCTGCATTCCTTTTAAAATTATCTGGGATAATTTTTACTTTGGTCAAGACAATTAACCATGCCACCCCCAAACCAAAGCAATTCTGTCCTCTGTTCACATTGTTCACTTTACTTGTTTGGCTTGAGCATGCTTATACTAGCTACTCTGAGATCTTTTCTAACTTGAAATGTTGAAATGTTCAGAAATTTGCTTTGATGTTCAGGCATTTTCTGATTGGGAGCCTGTTTGGTATGGAAAGAGTTGGGATTTGCTTCCAAAATAGTGGGGTGTTTTTCATACGCTCAGTCTTGGAAAATTCTGTACCTGTGATATTCAGAAAGCAACTTATCTGCTAGACAGTTTTTATGCTCTGGTTTGACTTTTTTCCTTTTCTATTTTTCATCTGTGAATTATAATGCCATATTAATGATGGCCACTGGTAGTGTTTTGCTTTTCCTTAACTCCTTCCTGGGGATGTGAGTTTCAGTCTTGCTATTTCTTGTATGTGCTATTAGCAAAAGGATTTAAAAAGCCCCTTTGTTCTTTGTAAACTGCGGAGCATAGAATTGCAAAATTCTCATCTAAGACTGCTTGGTGAAAGAGTGCTGTGTTTAGTCAAAAGCTCATGTTTCCTTGTCATGGAACAGAACCATGTCAAGCACAGCCACACTGCTTATCACTTTGCTCTTGGTTCCAGAATGCATCTCTCTGTCTGGTTCTACTTTTGAAGCAGTACTTTGTGTGGCATTGGACATTGGTGGGTCTGGGCACTGATGAAATAATGCACAACTTTGTGCTGTTGTACTTCAGTGGGAGGATATTCATGCATATGTTGGTGCTCTTTCTTTTTATCAAGTTAAATTGTGGTTTTGTATATGTTGCAGGTACCACACACACTTCGTAGTACCATGCAATCCTAAATTGACTGGATGTTCTCTAAACATTACTGGGCTGTTCCTCCTGTGAGAGTGACTTCTCCCAGTGTTTTGCCTTCTGTTGAAGGAACTGTTGGAAATACTTCCTCTGAACTTCCCTTCCTGTGCTCACTTCTCTAAGAGCATATCAAGAAGAGACCCCAGTCACAGGAACACTGAAGGGAGCATGTAACAGTGCAGCCAGCCTACTTGCATGGGTGTTTACCAGGTGAGGGCTGGCTGATGCCCAGGTTAGCTGATTCCCACTGCTCTGTGCACTTATTTACGGCTCAGGGCAGAAAGAACCATGTGTGTGGTTGGTTCCACTGTTGGAAGCAATTACATTGGGGATCTGGGCCAAAATGGCTGGCTGCCAGCCATGCTTCTAGCAAGCCTCAGTGGCACAGAAAAAGAGATGAGTTTCTAGTGTCTCTGTGACTTTAAGCTTAATGGAAAGAGCAATGAGTATTAAGGTGTTCTATATAGTGACCTTTTGGTCAATCATCACATTCTGGTTGGAGGTGGTAATTTTTTAAATCACAGCAATTCTGACATGCAGTGCAGGAGTGCAGTCTGTGTCCCTGATAAAGATCACAGCCTTCACTACTGCTGGAGAAGTGGTTGTTCACAGGTCCTCATGGCTTGGCTGAGAAAAGCTGTGACATACATCTGTCTCTGAACTGGGACAGAGCAGCTGATACATTAATTCTATTTAGCAAACAAGTATTTTCATAAAGGTTAACTGTTGAAAAAGAAATGGAGAATAAGGTCTCAGTATCTGATCAGAGTATACTGCCAGACTCCTCTGATACTCTCGTTTCTGAAAAAAGGCCACACTACTTACAACCCTTCCCCCACCCAGTAACACCTGTTTAAGTGAGAAGTTGAGGACATCTCATACTTGAGGTAGCAGTCATTTCCCGACAAACAAACTTGGAGACCAGGGGCCATGAGAGAGCTAAATGGGAGAGGTGGCTGCAGTGGCAGCCAGGATACCCTTTAGGAGGCTGTTGTGGAAAGGGTACTGTCATCTCACCCCTGTATTTCCATTTGCTACTGCCTGAAAAGTCCCCTACTGAAAATGTACTCTGTGTCTGAGGTAAATGTCCAGAGGGCATCTGCAGCTTAGGCAGTTATGTTTATTGTTATAGGGCATGACTGGAGTGAAGGAATCACAGTTATGTGCTTTGTAGTGCTCCTGAGAATGAGTCTGCTGTGTCTTTGATAGCTCTGTTCTGCTGGATAGAGCTCCCCTCACATCTTATTTTTAAGTTTTCATTTTTCCCTTCTTCTGTCATTTTCCTTCTTTTTGTAGGATTATTACTACTAGGTCCTGTAGCTTCCTCCTCTGTTCTGACAGAGCAGAGACCAAAGGAGAAGCTGGAAAGAAATGGAAACAATAACAATAGAAAGGAGATGCATGCTGAGTAACAGCTTTTGTGGAGTGAAGATAGTCTAATATGTCCTTGTGGGCTGATGATTGATGGGTGGAATTTTTCTTGTGATTAAGTAAACAACTAAGCTAGTCAAAGCAACAGAAATTTTCATCATGTTCTCTGACAATTACCTGATTACTTTTGGAATGAGTACTTTATGGAAACTTGGAGCTCTGTTTAAGTATTTAAGTAGTTTTGAATGGTTGCAAACCTAAATAGTACAATAGTAGTTATATAAATTGTGGTACTAAACTTGACAGAAGTGCTTTGTAATGAATTGTGTTAATGCCTATCAAAACAATATTCACTTAATCTCCATTCTTTTCAAGAACTAAACTAGTTCTGTCAGGTGACCTAGTAAAAGAGTAATTTAATTACTTTAATTCTTGGGGTGGATTAGAATTATAAGTGGTTATGTTAGAAAAAGGAAAAAAGCTGCCTCAAAGTTGAAGAGCTTTAGAGTATTTGAGAAAAAAAGGCACTATGACATTAAAAGATGGTTCATCACTTGTAAATGTGATTTACATTATGTGGTAAAATATTTCAAGATTTGAGATCCAGAACACCTCTCTTTACCACCTGTTAGGAGTAAGAGCTGCTGAATACTACAGTTGGGATCTGATGCTCCTTGTTTTATTAACTGCTTTTGTTTTGGGACAAGAAACAGAGCCAGGAACTTACTCTGTGATTTATCTTTGCGTCCCCACTCCTTCTAGGATAATTGCCTCCCAGTCACTTTTTCTAATAAACTGCAATCATGAGAAATGGTGGTGTTCAGCAGGAGGCAGTGGAAAGGGCCAGAAGTTTGGCTGTGGATCTGGCAGCAGTACTGCTGCACACAGAGGTCAGTGCATTGGGAGAATGACATCCTTGTGTGGACAGCAGCTTTTGTGGAGTTCCTGTAGGGGGGCAGTGTGTGCTTTTGTGCAGGTGTGGGGAGAGCCTCTGCGGGGAGGCACTGCTGTTATTATGCTCTCCTCATAATCCCATCTGACCTCCCTTCACCAAAGGAGGAGGATGGAGCGTTGTCCTGGCTTTATGATGCTTGTATCCCTGTTTGTTTGTTTGTTTAGCCCAGAAATAAATTTTGACTGGTTCTGAGAGCGAAGCGGGGAGAGAAGAAGCGTGGAGTGTGTTATCAGAAATAGCACTTGCTCCCCTGCACCCTGCTCCTGGACTGTGCTGTCTGCAGATGGACAGACAGCGGGACAGAGCTCTCCTTTGCTTTTAGTTAATTTTAGCTAGCTGAGGCAGAGAAGTTCCCTGGACTGTGGTTTTTCTTTTTCTTGGACCTGTTTAAACCTGCTCTGGTCAGAACACCCAGAGGAGCACCAGCAGCTCACACCTGTGGCCCAGGGGGCCGGGCCTGGGCCGCGGCATTTCCAGCGCCGGAGGGGCTGATCAGAGACTGAGTGAGCCAAGCTACAGCCCACGGAGGGGACTTTTCTGAGTTTGTCTTCTCTTTTGGAGCAGCAAGAGGTTCTGCTGTTTAATATTGTTCGTTTTTTGTGCTGATGAATGCTTTGTCTGTTAAATAAACAGCTTTTTTCCACTTTTCTCCAAGGAAATCCTTTCCCAAACCAGATGGGGGAGGGGATACTTGAGTTTGCTTTCTAGGGGAAGGAAACCCTTTCGAGATTTTCTCCCAAATTTGCCCTAAACCAGGACAAGGGTGTTCCTATGTAAGGTCTGTGGCCAAGTGGTGGGTGTATGGTCCTACCCAAGGACCTTGTTAACCTTGGGACTGCATGACGGTTGATTTGCTCCAGGATAGTACTACATTCCTGTCTGCTGCCCTGCTCCAGAAAAAAGCAACTGCCCTTCATCAAAAGTTTTTT